TAGAAGTAGTCCTTCCAGTAGTAATAAGAGAAACATACTGTGAATATTTTGAAGTTAATGTCTTAAAACACAAAACTTTGGTAAATGTTTTATGAAATGTGCTATGCACATGTGTTTGCGCTCCATCTTGGTGAAGCTGAATAAATAAAAAAAAAAGTTCTTCATTGCATCTTGCTTTCATAGAGCTGAACAGCATCTGGCATTTTACTTTCTTCCTCAAGGTTAGCTGCTTTCCATTACACTGTGGCTTTTAAGAATTTGTTCTGCTGTGTCAAAAAGCCAAAGCTGACTGTTAGGGGATGTGCAGGAAAGAAAACACCATGCTATATCTTTTCAGTATGGCAATTAACTTCCCCGTATTGGTTCCAGCTACAGTTCACTTCTGTTTCAAGGAACAAAAGGATTTGATACCAACTCCTTGAACAAGATATCATAAAATTCAGACAATCAAAAAGGGACAGGTCTTTTGACTTATAATACAAGACCAGTAATAGATCCATCTTCCCTGTCTCAAATCCAACAGGGTGCACCAAACCTAAGTCCCAGAGGAACTGACCACTGAAAACAATGCACACACTGCAAAACCTCTCCAAGGAGTAAGTTTCAATTGCAACAGTAGATTATACTGCCAGAGGGCTGTCTATGGCTGAGCAGGAAATTCAGTAATGGAAATGAAGGTATTCTGTGTTGGGGAGCACAAGAGAAAAGAAATGTGCCAGTTTTAAGAAAGTTTCTCAGCTGATCTTTTGAATTAAGACAAGTGCTTGATTGGCTTTTTTCCCTCATGATGATTTCAGTGCATCTACGTGAAACTTGCAGATTGTGTTGGTGTGGCTGATAAAGTATATTGCTGTAGACAATGGCATTCTCAGAATGATAATCCAGAATCCCTTCTGATGATGACTTTGAGATTCAGTCTCCATTTTTCCCTTGCCACTATTACTTTATCCTGTGAAATAATGTTTTATTTATGGTAAATACCCTTTTTTATTAACACACCAGATATGGATCTTTATAGGATGATTTGCCATCCCAGCCAAACTTATTTTTTCAGTTTAGCATACTGTACAATTAGTAATCTCTATGTAGGTAAGTGGCACATTGTAAACATCCTCTGTTTGGGGTCTTACTGGGCACTTCTTTGCCATGCCAAAACCTGATCCTCAGATTCTAGTCAGAGAAACAAGGACTGCAGGTGAAAAAGCATTGGATTCGAAACTGGTGACACATTACAGACAAAAAGTGTGAATTCATTTATAGTCTGGAATTAGGTTACAGAAAGGTTGATCTGTCATTCTAATGAAGAAGAATGTGTTAAAATATTGGACCATTTCTGAATAGGAAAATACCCCAATTTATATGTAATTTTACAGGTTTTGTTGGAAGGTTTTTTTGGGATGGGGGTTTGTTATTTTTCTGTTCAGAAACTTGGAGAGGCCTCACTGCAGGTAATACATTCAAGTATCAGTATTAAGAGTCTGCATGAAATACACCTGTAACAGGAAGAAAAAGAAAGAAATACATTTGGCTTTTATGAAGTTGAAAGGAGAAAACCAGTTTAAAATAAAAAAGTGCAATAAATTGCTTTAATATCTGTTTATTTAGGGAAGAGGTCTATAGTGTTATTTAATATATTTTCTTCACTCAAATGTGAGGGGAAAAATGGTAGTGTTGGTTACCTTGAGGTACCCTAACAGCAATAACATAGCTGCCATGTACACCAGTGTGCTTGACGAAGCACTGTTCTCGCACTCAATTAAACTATCGTGCTGACAGGAGAAAAACGGATCCACTTTGTTGCAGACTGTCAAACATACTTTGCCTTCCAACCTCCATTATTCTAGCTAAGTGAAATGTATCAAACCACTCTAACTGTCACTGAGGAAAAAAAAGAAAAAAAAAGAAAAAAGAGAATATGCTTTTAACAAAAAAAATTCTGACTATCCCTCCCAACTTTCTGCAAACACCAATAACGTTAAGTGCACATATCTAACTGTAATAATGAAAATGTTCCAAGGAACTTTTAGAAAAAGATATTGCATCCTTCTTTCTTTGTACATGATACCTTCCTTATGTCATTATTTTATTTTTATCAGCAGATATCGATATTCTTCAGCTGAAGAATAAACATATAAGGCCAAATTCTTATCCCTTTTTGTTATGGCAATATAAAGTTTCCTCATACCTGGAAAATCACTGTCTGAGAATGTTATTAAGATGTAAGGCTATGGGCAGACCCCCTCTCTCCTTGTCATACAAACTATCACTACATGACATCCAGTAGGGACAGATGATAGGGAAGTGGATGACATGCCACATTCTAGTGATTCCTGGATACTGCGAAACCACTTGCAGCCTTACACACTGCCACAGAGTACAGTTGCCCTTATATAATGAATGATGTGAATCTCCCTGCTGAGGGAAAGCTAAAAGCTAAAGCTCTCTTTAATTCTGCTGAGTAATGCTCTGATACAGCTGTATAACTGAGTTGCTTTGACATGAATTTAGCTCACTCTTCTTTCTGATGCTTTGAGACTGCAACTAAGAAGAATGTTTTGCCATACAGTTGTCCTTAACATTCTGCCAAGCAACTGTTAGCAGCTAAGCAAAGTGACATCTGTGCATGTGGCAATTGTCTGTAGTCTGAAGCTATTTCTCTTAAATCTAAGCCTGAGGGCCTGAATCATCATTTCCCTGCATCTTGCCAATTGCTGGGTATTATTTTTACACCCATTTTTTACTAATGGAAGTAACTACTGAAATGAAAGACACTGAAATACAAAACTCTATTATCAAGTACCATGTACATTTTTGTTCTGTTTCTTTTCTCTACATTGATTTGAGATCTCTGAGAATTCAAAAAAGAACAGTAATAGCAGGTCTGATTCAATATTCCAAGCTTTCTACTGTCACTTCCATTGACTGAATTTGATTTTTCATTGAACCTTAATTATTTCAAATAATAAAGTTACTTAGATTTTTTTTGTGTGTGAAACTAAATTGTTTACATGTAGACATCTAGTGTCATTTTGATGCTATAAGCCATCCCACTTGGGCTCCAGTTGCTCCTTCAGATCAGGGCATGGGTTTCCATAGGTTCTATGGCATGTCCATGAAGCCCATTTGCATGTCCTGAATATGCAAGAACAGCTAAAATAATACTAGATACCTAAGTTAATGTAAAGTTAATGTAGCTGCATTTTTGCTTTCGTCTCACCCTTACCTGCATAAGTAATACATAGCATTATCTTTACTTGTCTGGAATAAAAGTAGCAATGAAACAAATATGTTGTCACCAGATTTCCTCTGCCTAATCCTCCTAAATACACAGGCTTTCTGAACTAAATTATTCTCAGTCATAGAAAGAGGAAATAATACTTATTCTCTAATAACTGACATTTTGATTTTTGGAAATCAGCAAGTCTGACTTCCATAGCAAACTGATGATACCTCAAAAATATTAATAAGGAAGTTGATTTTTTAACAGAGACATGTGGTCAGATCCTCAAATTACAGAAATTGGTATAGCACCATCAAAGTCATTATCTCTATGCAAATTTGAAAGAACTGAGAATCTGACTTTCGTATGTAGTATAGGAAAATTTTCTGTCAGAAACGTATGTACAAAGAATACGAAGAGCTCACATTTGTATATACAAATAGGTAAGACATCAACAGTAAACTGAACTAAAGAATACATCCTTTGAGTTTATCAAGACTTCAATGCTAAGTTTAGCATACATATGCAGACGTAATAACTAAGCTGATCTTTCACTCTAGAAATAGAAATTAGGAAAAAAAAGTTCATGCATAGTCAGTTTACAGAAGATTTTCTTTGAGGAAGATAAATGCAGGTCAGAATTTGTTTTTTGGCACCATGTCAGTCATGCACAGAAATTGAATGGCCTTACTGCATTCTGGACAAGATGCTCCTGTCCACACGACAAGAGTGAGAAGCATTGTGTTTAATTCCAAAACAGTTCTAAACTTGTGCATGCAGAATTTGTTGCCTTCTTTAAAAAGTTACCTTTAAGAAAAAAGACTTTTAAAAAACTCTTTTTTATCTTTTTCATTGTTAGAGAACAGTTCCTTGATTTGCTTGAAAGGCAGCCAGGAATAAGCTTTTTCTTTTCTCGTGAGTTGAAAAAAAATACAAAATTATACAGAATAAATAGTAAATATAAATCTAGCTAGAATTCATTGCAAAAATAAACCTGCAGTGTTCTACTTTTTTTACCTATTTTTCCCACAACACTTTATTTTCTTCTAATTTCAGAAAATATAACATATTTTTGTACAAACAGCTAAATACTATTAATCTTCCTCGTGCGTATGTGTATTGTTGCGGTTATTCTGACCGGGAGTTGCTTTTGGGTAGGGTGGTAAAGGACCTGTATTTGCACTTGGAAGTTCCTAGCCATAGCAAACTCGTTTCCTCCAAGAATATTTAAAGCCAGCACAGAAATTATTTATATATAGAGAGAGAGAAAGATAAAAAAAAAATCAAACTTATTAAACACAGTAACATATTTACAGCTGATTCTCAGTAGCTTTTCAAATTGCCCAGGATTATGAGTTGAAACACCAGTGATGCACAATATTTTATAGCAGCAGCTCAAGAAAAGATTGTCCAAACTTAGGTAAAGCTATCAGATAGGGAAAGTAACAAAAGGCTTGTTTTTTTCTTCTTTGAAGATGTTGGGTAAACATAGTTACATATTTTTCCTTCCACATACTGATACAGAATGCACATGATGAAGTTCCGTGTAAAATTCTTAAATATTTGCAGGCTCTGGGTGCATACACAAAAATTTTTTTTTTTTTTTTTTTTTCTTTTTTTTTTTTTACTGACATTTAGTATGACAACATTTCAATTCCTTTCATATTTATTATAAGGGTATGTTAGGTGTAGTTGTAGACAACGGTCATGTATGCAGTGCATGTACTAACCTAACCAATACACTCTAACTTTATAACTACAAACACAGGTGTTTTTTTTAAAAGGAATCTAATTAAACTGAGGGAAAAAAGAAAGAGTAAAGGTAACAAATATTTTTTCCATAGGTTGGGTACAGAATGGAGAGTGCCATACACACCTTTTTAAAATGTTGAGGAATATTGCAATAGGCAATCTTCCTCCCACAGTTCAATCACACAAAGTTCATGTTTAACTTGGGGTGAGACATATTGCCTGCACACAAACCCATGGCTTCCCACAGTGATCCCTGAGTTTTTTTTGCTAGGATTACTGCTGTGCTTAAGTTCTGACTGTCGACATGTTATTATAAGGCACTTTTATTTACAATGGTTTCAACTTAAAATAGAATTACAGAAATGCGGCCCCAGCCCAATGTATTATAACTTCATGTTTGCTGCTCCAGGACTTCCAGGTAGTCAGGCTCAGCATGTAAATTAGCTTTGAGTTCAAAATACTCATTTTTAGTTTGTTCTAGAAAAACCTTTCTTGGCCTGGAGTACATGAGTGTCTCCATTAGTTTCAGCTCCTCATGTGTTCCAGGATAATGAACTTCCATGTCAGGCTGGAGCTGGACAATATTTTTTCTTAGGTATTCCGTGATCCCTAGTTGCTGCAGCTCTCTCTCTTTTTCAAGAATGTTTCTATACAAGCAGCTGGCATCCTGAAAAGACAGAAATTCAGCAGATTGATCTGTAGCCTTATATTTGACATTTGGACCTGTAAGAGGTGAACTGTTCTCTCTTTCCAGGAGACTTCGGCGGAGATGTTTGGAATCGTTAGCTTCCTTCTCACTTCCCTCCTCCTGTTGCTCAGTATGCTTGGGGCTGAAGGATGGGCTGCGGTAGACCTGAACCAAGGGAGTAACCATACGTTGCTCATAGAGAGTTGCGGCTGGGCGCTCCGTTGTGTGGTGGTGTGTGGTCTTATGCCCATACATGCTGTACTGAAGGTGAACTGGGCTACTATCCCTCATTTGTTCATCCGCTTGTTTCTTTTTGCATCTTCGTCGCCGATGCAGAACAAGAACAACTATTCCTGCTGCACAAAATACAATAGTTATAAACACAATTAGAAGTCCTAATATTAGAACAGAAAGTGGGACCGCATCTGTAAGGGATCGCAGGATGGTGTCTGCGGTGTTGGTAGTAGTAGAAGAAGTTGTCACAACTACAAAATTGGCATGAGTTGGTAGGGCAGGGCTGTTTATTAAACCTGGACACAAGACTTCACTGTTCAGAGATTTCAATTCTTTTTTTGCTAGGTGTCCTGGAGATTTACAAAAAATATCACCCATCATTGTATTCTTACTCAGTTTTTGTATCCATTTTTGCAGCCCAACTGAATCACATGTACAGTCCCAGGGGTTGTCTTCAAGTTCAATTTGTACCAGCATATCCAGTTCATCCAAGACATTGCTCACAGGCAAATGAGCAAATTGGTTTGTTTTCAGATTTAATCTGGCTAGTGGAACACCTGAAAAGATATGGGGTGGCAAAGTCTGCAGAAGGTTGTTATTTAAGTAGAGGACCTTAAGTTTTGGCATTGCATTAAATGTCCCTGGCAAAACTTCTTTGATAGCATTATATTCAAGGTACAAGTATTCAAGGTGCTGAAGGCCAAAGAATAGATTTTGACTTAACTTTGTAAGGTGATTGCCATTAAGATATAATTTCTGCAGTCTAGTCAGATTCATAAAGGATCCTTCCTCAAGGTTTTCAATGCGATTGTTCCCCAGGTGAAGCATTTCTAGGCTGGCGTAGTCCACAAGATCTGATTTCAGTAATGTCTGAATAATGTTTCCAGCTAGAATAAGCTTTTTAGGATTTGGAGGAGGGGGTCCTAAATCAGACAAGCTTTCAATATTTCGCTCCTGGCAGTGCATGAGAACTCCTGAGAGCATATGGCTGGTGCAGTGGCAGGGGACGGGACAATAGATTCCTGGAAACTGAGTAGTAGGCTTTGAAGTATGAAGTGTTAAACTTGGTTCTTTAGTAGGAGCTTTCAGGATAGGAATCACCTTAGTTGATAGGTGACTAACACTAATAGAGGTCGTTACAACCAAGGGCAGTGACCCTGAAGGATCTTCAAGTTCATTGACAGGATGAGTGGGACAAAGTGATTCTTTTTTCAACCGGCTTAAGATGCTGCCTTTGATAACTGGAGGACTATTGCATACAATGTCACCTATTATTGACTGAGGAGGCATGTTTTCTAGCCATATCTTCAGCTGCAGCAAATCACAGTTACAGGCCCATTTATTGTCTTCCAGCTGAAGGTCTAGTATTCTACCAATATGTTCCAAAAAGCCAACATAGGGCAGTGTCTGTAACTGGTTTCCACGAAGATCTAAATGGGTCAATGGCACAAAACGAAATATGTTTGGAGGAAGATACTCAATGGCATTATCATTCAAAATAAGCACTTTAAGCCTGTTGAGCTTGCTAAAGGCACTTGCTTCAATCACTGTGATGAAATTGTTGTCTGCTTGAAGAAACTCCAAATTTTCCAATCCATTAAATGTATCTTCTTTAAGTGTTTCTAAAGAATTGTGATTGATATGAAGTTGCTTAAGAAGGCTGAGACCATTGAAAGCCCCAGGCTCAATATCTGCAATATTATTAAAACCAAGATGAAGAGAGATAGCATTCACAAGGCCAGCAAAATCATTCACGTGTAACATAGTCAGGCCATTGTTTAACAGATTAAGATGGAAAGGCCGTGATGGTGGGACATTTATTTCTGATACCATCTTGATGCCTCTTTCTTCGCAGTTTATAATCACGGTCTCATCCTTTTCTTCACAGAAACACAAACTCTGGCAAGATCCTCTCACTGAAGAAAAAGAATGCTGTGACTGGAAGGGATCAGATGCAACCACAACTGAATATAGAATAAAAATCCAGAGCTTCATCTTGCCTAGCAGATTCTATAAAAGAAAAAAAAGAAAAAAAAAGGAAAAAGAAAAAGTAATAGAGTCATGATTTCACAGGGTTGATTTTATTTGATTTTTTTTTTCTGGGTTGGGGGGAGCAATAACCATTCCTAGTACTTGTCATTGAGCTACCTCACCTTTCAAGCAGTATTATATTATGCAAAACATTTGAATGATTTTCTAAGCAGAGAAAAATAGAATTAGTTTAATGTACTGAATCAATAAACAGTCATAAGGGGAGTGCTTCAGCACTCTCATGCTGATACATGAAAGTAGGAGATAACCAAGAGTGTGTTGTCTTTATTTATATACCATATAGAATGTTTTGCGAGCGGACAGCAGTAACAAGTTACTGCCCTGAGTAACTTTTATCAAGGCTAATATAATATTTTGGATTGTTGCTTTGTGTCACCATATAACACTGTAAATTTTAAAAGTACCTTGCTAAGCTCAACTTAATGGTGTCCAGCTGCTGAAGAGAAGAAATAAGATTTAGTTTGGTTCAACAATGTGTTGTGAGCAAAAGCCCATTCAGTCAGGATAAAAGGAATCTCTCCTTTGGTTCTACATTATGTACGTAAATCAAAAGATATTTCCTCTGCAATCCTTGCACCCCCAAACTGAAAGGGAAGTAGACAAAGTAATTCTTTTTCTTTACTTAAATTTTAATGCACATGTTATAGATTGTGGATATTTAGTGACAGCGGGAACACAGCACATAGTAGTGTAATGTTTGTATATAATATACATAAAATAATTGTGTATACAATTAAAATAGAAAAGAAGAGAGAACTGACAATGCAGTACATGTCAGAAGAAACAGGTAGGCAAGGGGCAAACTTTTTTTTTTTAGATTAATTATTAGACTCCTTCCAATTATTATAATCATTAATTACCACAAAAATTCTGAAAGGTACATTCAACTAACTGTGCTTTACGAGTTAAAAATGATCACCAGTATCATCCGTATGTTACGTAATTTAAATTATCATCTGTCAAGCTGATCTTGAGCTTTGGGATACCTGATAAATGCATCATTACAGTTCAGCTATGGAGTCACAAGCAAAATTTACATGTTGAAATCAAGCATTAGTTATCATTGGTTTGAATTAATTTATGCTACACTCCATTTGAAGATTCTCTGTTTCTTTCTGTCAAGGCTGTCTAATTAGCAAGAACAATGGTAATTTCTGATATATGAGATGGAGTGAAATCACTGTTTATAATCTTTAATTAAATATTTCCACATTTCCTAAAAGAAAAAAAGTCTTACAGTGGAATGGATGATTTAAAACACAAGAACTTTTTTGGGGTGCGCTATTTATTCTAGGACTGAACTAAGCACATTTCTTAAATAATCCATCTAATAAATGTCACTTGGTCTTTCAGAGTAAGCTAGTGAAACATGGAGTACAGAATGTCACTACACAATTAACCAGCTGAAGTGATAATTTCTGAAAGATTAGAACCTTTTACAAGAATCTATTCAATTACATGCATGAACATTCTTACAGTGTGGTCATATGACTTGGTATCTCATCAATACATATTTTAATTATCTTGTACCTTTGTTACAAGCAACACCATTTCTCAAGGCTTCCCTTAAAATGGATTGCAAAGATTTATATATGCAAGCACTTAAGTGCTGTGGTATGAGTATTACACACATGCTCACACAAACGCAACAGCAAATGTGTGCACAGCAAATTATGTTTTTCTCCATTAGTAGTTCCTGATAAGTGGGAATAGATGTATGTGTTTAGAAGTAGTAAGTGCAATTCACAGTGTGAGAAAAAGTGTCCCTAAAAATATGACCTTTTATCTTTGTTTCAGTAGAACAAATAATTTTGTTGTCTCATATAACATTCCTTGAACTCCAGCTGCCTATGTTTAATATATATGTCTTTAAGTTTGTTTTCCCAAGAAGTATTGGATAAGACACAACATGTCAAGATGTTATTCTGAAGTGTGCAGAATAATTCTGGGATCATATTACGCTAGAGAGTTATTCTTGCTTTACATGCGTCAGTATCCTTTCCAGTGACCCAAGGTAAAAAATGCAGGCTCTAAACACAGATGCCAGCTTCAAACCTACTGTATGACTAATTAGACTTTATTTCTGCAGGAATTCCAGCTTCAATCTGCACCAAATTTAAACTGCACTTATAAAGTCCCTGAGCAAAACTAAATGGAAAAAAAAAAATCTGAAAGCATTTTGCATTCTAGTGCATAGGGAGAAATTAGGTTATAAAAATGAAAGCCCTCCTCTCAGAGATAAAAGTAACAACATTTGTAACCAATTGGAAAACATTCCCATTTTAATCATCGTCATACTTCTGTGGGCAGCACTGCCAGAACTCTCACACACACATACACATAACAAAAAATAATAGGAGAGTTGTATTCTGTTTTTTCCTTTTTCCAGGGGTTTTTTTTTTTTGGTCTGAACACTCAGGAATATGTAATGAAGCTCTCGGTGGGCTACTATTGTAAAATAAAAACTGCTTTCAAGTAACAGATGATCAACATTTAACTGGAAGAATTCAGAATAAAACAAAATTTAATTTAAAAAGACTTGACAAAGCTGACCTTTTTCTGTTTCATGTGGGGAGGTTTTTCAGCAAATTCTACGTGGTAACTTAAGTTTGTTCATTTTTTCTGCTTTCATGTAAGTCAATACTAATTGCATACTCTAACTAAGCTTTTTGCAGGAGGAATTCTAAAAGACTAAAAAATGTCACAGTCCTTTCTACGAGGCAAAGTTGAATACTTCCAGAAGCAGTCATCTTATAACAAAGGCATCCCATGCTTGACAAGTAATAATCAATGTGTTTTTAAAACATTGAAATAGCTTGTTTCATTGTACTTGGGGTTTTGGTTGGTTGGTTGTTTTAATTCAGCTATTTAAAAATGCATGTTGAAGAATTTCAAAGCCTCAAGCTAAGAAATGGTAATTTCTAAAAGCCTTCAGGATTGTTTATTAAATTCTGAAGGGAATCACAGTCAGATGATGCATTTAAGACCATTCTTGCACTTCAGGAAATAAAAGCAAACACCCATTCCTCCCCCCTCAAGGGATCTGAAATCAGTGTTTCCTTACTACACACATTCTAAACAGTTGGCAGTTTGAATAAATGTACCTGGCAGACTGTTTGAAATACCATATAAACTGCCATCATATAACATAAATGTTATACAAAGTCATGCAGAAAAATAAATTTAACTGGAACTGAGAAATTAATTCCTCATTTGCTAAGCTCATTAACTAACTGGAATCTTTCTTACCTGTACAGCAGTAACACTCCCTGAAACGCTCAGTAATGCACAGTTGGAGCAGCTGTTTCAATGCGATGTAATTTTTCCCTGTGAAAAATGCACACTTTCTTCTGAGTTTCACTTTGTTGCACGCTCTGGTAATACTACAGCTCCATAAAGTTAAAATCCTTGTTCAGAAGACAAAGTACAAAGAGTTCGACTGAAAAAATCTTCCAGGCAGCGTGCACATTAGACCATCCTGTAAGCAGTTGTCCTTTTTCCTCAATTAAAATTCACAGCATACTTCACAGCTATGCTGACTTTTCTGCATATAGTTAACTGTTTGCAAGCATTTGGATGCAATAAACAAACAAGATGCTCAGCAGAGCTTGACTTGATCACTTGGTTTGTCAGATTTTTAGATCCAAGCTGCTTCTGTGTTCTCTCTGCTCTTTCTAGTCTTTCTTGTTAGCTCAGTTTGTTATTAGTCAGATTGCCAGGGACTGGGAGGTAGGCGTAAATAAAGAGACTTCTTGGCTTTTGACTCAGCCTTTAAGCCCTTCCCCACCAGAGAGCTTTAATCTGCCAATGTCATTTAATACAAGATACAGCTCCACCTTGAGACAGATCAGCTCCTCCTCCTCCTGCAATTTCTCTCACCTCCTTTTTCCCTTATCTAAGTGAACCTCGGAAAGTTAAATTCAGCTAAATGTCTTCTAGACTGCTTAAGGTCTGTTAATGGCTGATTTTGCAAAACAGTAAACATCCACTGCAGCTCTTGCAGTTTGTTCTCTTAGGCAGATCTTGCATTTAGTTTATATCTGCAAATGCTTGCTTTAGAAACTGAAAGCATTCCAGCCCCAGTACCCTCCACAAAACACACCACAAGGGAAACCTTGTCCTCTGGAAAATATGTCTATCACAATGAAGTGCAGGATTATTCAAATATATAAATGAGACAGTACAGCTCTCAGTTCAATCCACTCAATGTGACTGGGGTAGGGATGAGTATGTGGATGACTATGTACAGTTGTACATACTTTATTTCTGGAAAAAAAGCAGTGGAATTTTAGTCGTTATGCTTGCACAATGATTGCCGTCAGTCCTTTTTAAACTGCCCATCTTGTGCTGTAGGAAGAAAACTGCATTGATTGTAATTGTCTGTTTTACAGATGTTAGCATAGCGTGTTGGTATCTGTCCATGTGAGATTGTATTGTATTCGCATGAAATATTGCTTTGTTAAAAAACAGTTGGAGGGGGGGGCTATTCTTAAAGGCATGTATCATGCTTAAGGTACTATTTTCTTTGTGCTCATAAACAAGTAATTAGCAGGTACAGTAAGGCTACAGAAAAATGTTTATTCCATGCAAAGAAGATTTTCCTCATCCCTCCTGCACTGCATGGGATTGTTTTATATGCTGCAAATACTACTTCCTTGTTCATTCCACTGCCACGGAGCCGCTAAACCTTTTGGTGAGCAACAATAGATCTGGTGCTTCAGCATATTTACCCTGTAGACCATACCATTTCTGGTTTGTTCTTATTGTATCTTGGATTACTTTACAGATTGTTTACTACAGCCTCAATACCAGTCAGATTCCAGTAACTTCTTTTGTGCTGGAAGCTCTCCAGGTGGCCTCATTGGCCTTTGAAGGGGTATTGTGATGTACTGTTCCATGTCATGAAGGCTATCAAGATCTTGTCCTCTGTATATATACACACACATTTATACATATATTCATCTATATTAGGCATACATATATATGCCTTGGCTTATTAGGATGAGTTCTTTAGCACTTAATATTCTACAGATAAAATATATAACTTAGCAAAGTAATAAACAAAGATAAAATATTCCTAAGAAACAGTTACAATTTGATTTCCATTCATTTCAACACATCACTTATTTGATTGCATTTTGCTGCTTTTAATGAACCTTGCCACTCTATCTTGACTTGTAGACATTTTACTGTTAATGTTCAAAGATTCTCAGATATCTGTGTCTGGCCAAATAAATCAGTATATTCTTTATTAATTTTGAATTTATGGATTGTAAGTCAGATTCTTTATAATTTTTACTGAACATTTTACAGGTGCTCACACTTGTGGTTGATTGTTTCAGGTGGAGAACATCTGTATATATAGATACTCATATCAAAAGTGAAAACATCGTTCTTTGTTTTTCAGTTAACATCCGCAAGAGTAAAACCTGATCACAAAAATATTTCCAGCAATCAACTACTAAAAATTGAACAGCATTTCCTAACCATACACAATTAAAAAACACCAAGAATGGTTATCAATAATGGTTGTCTTTCCACAAACTGTGTATTCACCAGGTTTATAAAAATACAGCTAATGCTTGTTTTCCCACCACAGTTTTATGAGTCATTAAGCAGGTTATTATAAAGAATGTGATTCTGCAAGTGCATCTGCATGGACAGTGTTGAACTGACATGGAGTTTGTATCCTATATTTTAAGCATTCACCTATATCGATTGCTCTGACAATTTTAAAATTTGTGAAGCTGTATAAATAAAATCTAAAACTGTCAGGCTTACTTACTTCCAAAAAGGCCTTAAGCTTTTATGTCATTGCTCTTTACCTCTTCACAAAACACAGCATCTCCATAGATCGGAAATTACCATACCCCTCTAACTATACATATATTGTGTAGAATTCTCCCCCAGCTGGTGAGTTTTCTTTCTTATCAATATATATATATGTAGAGATAGAAATTGTAATGCTATTAAGCATATAGGCCTTATATAAAATCCTTAAAAGACGATGTTCCAATATTGTGTACAATGTTTTATTAAATTCAGTGTTATATGGTAAGCTGTGCAAGTTTCTTTTACTGTATACATTTCAGAGGAAACACCTGAGCCTGAATTACATAATTTGTAATTTTTGGTATGATGAGAAAATGCCAAGGAAGGCTCTTCTGGAATCCTTTGTTTTCTTCTTAGCAATACATTCCCTCCATTCAGGAAAATTCTGAAGACTACAGGGACACCCATAAGAAGCAGTGGAAAGCTTTCTCACACCTTTTCAGTCAGAACTTATTAGTACCACTTCTAGATTACTTTGAAGAATGTTTTCCATATAAAGGATATTTCAGTTGTGAAAATTAGGCCTACAACTTACAGATTAGTCTTTAAAATGTGAATTTTCATGGTACCCTAATTATTTATTTGTAAATTCAGTGTTTAAAAATAACAGAAGGAATAAGGATCTGCATTTGCTATTTCAGTGGAAGGTAAAGCTCCCCTCTCCCCTCATTCACAACTCGTCACCACTTCTTAGTATGCACATAAGGAGCCATTGATTCCACACAAGATGTATGAGCCAAATAATGTATCCTGCCCTGCCTGCATGAAGCTGTTATTCTGTATCAGCAACTCTTCATCTATATTTCTTGGCACACCAGCTCTTTGAATTCTGTATAATTACTGGTCTGAGAGTTTAAGATACTATACTGAAAGGAAGTATTCTTCTGGAACAGCTAAGTACCATCTGAACATTCATACCTGAGAAAGCAGGCTGAGGGACTCTGTTGAAACTCATATACATAGTATACATGAAAATTCCATATGGAGAGACAGTCACCAAGGCTAAGTATGGTCAGAGAACATAGCACACGAGCACACACAAAACAAACCAAAAATACAGGCAAAATACAACCTAGCTACAATTACGGAAGCTACCTGTGCCTACTATAAAGCCAATGCAGAGCCTTTCTCTCCCATGACAAAGGAAATTAGGAAAGTTTTTCTTAAACTGTAAGTTTCATTACAGCCAAGTGAATGGGAAAGAAATAATTAGGATTGGCATTAGGAAAGAGAGGGTTTTAATTTGTAGGCATCCGTTTATTTCATTCAGCTACTGAACACCTACTTCCTTCACAGAATTATTGCACCTTTTCTATGCATTGGGATAGGTCTTATTCAAAATCTTTTTCTGCTCTGAACACAGTGTGTGGCTTTTTGCAGTCATGAACGCATTGCAATTATGTAAACAAAGGTCCGGATTCCCCTCTAAAAGTGATGTGCAAGCCTAGTGACTGTTCTCTAAGTAAATATTTGTTTTAATTTTTATATGACCCTTATTGAGAGGCAATTATCTGAAAAATCTGCTGAAAACGTTCTCCAGTTTATGAGAGAACAATCAGGTTAAAGGAACAACTTTCTATTATCCTAATGCAGCTTCTAAGTAACTAAGTGAATTTAGACCCATATATGCATACTTAATATACACATATACATACATACATAACATTGTATGCATTGATAATCATCACCATGCAGAAATGACATTCCCTGAAGTAAAGTATTTCGAAGAAAGGTACATTGAAGCTAATGTTTTTTTTATATTTCATTTTTCAAGATAAAAAGTCATATGGTCCTTTAAATTTCCTGCTGGAGTGAACAATGTATTTTATCCTACTACCCTTAGCACCGTGACTCCTTGCAAGATAGTGGCTTCTTAGTCATTTAATAAAATATGATGCAGTGGCTGTAAATAGTCTTTATTTTGGAAACAGATTAAACCAAGCTGATTTCTCTTACATACTTCTTCTTTAGTAATCCTGCTTTACTGTATTATTCAGCTCATTGTAAAGGTGTAAACATTTTTTTAATTTGCACTATTTCCTTCTTCAGTATCTGTGCAATAGATCTTGAATCTTCTCTATGTTTTGTTTACTCATTGACAGAGAACTCCTGGTTCTGCACAGTATAGGAAGAGTTTAATATAAAAGCTAAAATCTCTTAACCCATTCTGAGATAATCCACCTTGTTCATTAATTTTGGTGTTGGAGTGACAGATGTCCCTTGATCTGATTCAAACTCTTGGAACAGGTAGATTCTTCTCTCCTGTCCTCTCCTCCTGACCTTGGCAATATTTGAATGTCAATTCAAAAAAATGCCTAGAGATGACTGGTCTGTAGAGAAAAAAGTCACCTGAGAACTTGCAGTCTTCAGTTATGATGAATCAGGTGCCTATTTTTTAAAATGTACTCTGCTTACCAATGACCCAAGAACCAAAAAAAAAAAAAATAAAAAATTGAGTCATGGTTTGGCATTACACAGCATGCTAGCAGCCTAAAAGCTTCTCTACTAATCTACCGGTACTCCCTTTTCTTAGTAACTTTTCAACCCCAGAAGCATTATTGCCCATTGACTTTAAATTACTGTAGGTTTAGAGTGAAATGATCCTCTCCACTACCACATAGCCATCTGAAACTTTTTTAAAGCCAAATGGAGTAAAGTGCTTTTTGTCCATGTAGAAGGGAAAACCCAGTGTGAAATCAACAGAATTTCCCTTGACTTCTTTGGTTTTTGACTTCTTTCCTGATTACTCTGGACTTCCAGTCAATATCCTTTAAGGTATATTTGAATAAAATTTAAAATAAAAAAAATCCTTATAAGTTTATATAAGCTAGTTATGTTCTACTTACTTATTTTCACAATATGATACAGTCAGCCAATTAATTATCAGCTGCACCTCTAAGTAGTCAGCCTCACATTACAGTTACAAATATTTCAATTGAAGTATAGTCAGATTTT